AGGGTTCAGAACACTGCAGCACGGCTAGTTACTCGTACTCGAAAGAGAGAGCACATCACACCTGCGCTTTATTCGTTGCACTGGTTACCTGTACGATACAGGTCGCAGTACAAAATTCTGGTATACACATACAAGGCACTGAATGGAACAGCTCCTCAGTACCTACAGGAACTTGTTACCCTGTATCAGCCGTCAAGATCACTGCGGTCGGAGTCAGAATCTTTGTTGTGTGTCCCAAAATCTCGTACTGTGACCTACGGAAACAGATGCGTTGTGAGGGTTTCGGCTACGTTGTGGAATAGCTTACCATCTGCTATTAGGAAGTCGAATACCTTGGCCAAGTTCAAGAGGGACATAAAGACTCACCTCTTCACGTCTGCATTTTAGAATCTTTACAAAGACGTCATGTAAATACCACCGTTTTATTTGTTCAATTATGTGCACATTGCTTGTAAAATGTATGAAAGTGATTTCAAGCCTTTGTTGTTTGTTTTCACAATTATAACCATTACTTTTATCCATATGTTGTAAAGCGCCTTAGAGCAATTTTACAAATTATATAGGGCGCTATATAAATGCTGTATATTAAAAATAAGATAGATGAGGGCCTAAATAAGTGTATGATGGAAGAAATCATATAGATGGGCAAAGATAAGGACCAAACTGATCAACACTTGTTTATGCAATGAATAAAAATGGCAAGTTTTCCGTTTTTTCTTTGTTAATTGAAAATCGGTAAATCTATTGTTTATAACAAAGAAATGTCTCGTTGAACAGTATTTCGTGTGGTTACGTTTTAGCGGTTTATTGTCCGTCCAAAGCTGAGACGTCAAAATGTTGCAAAAAGATCATAAGCGGAAACCGTTCAACCAATGGTTCTTTTAAGCACGAACAATAGATAAAGCGATTTTCAATTTTAAAAATAAAATACAAATTTGCATGTTTACATAAAGCAACTGACTGCATCTCAGCATGACATAAAAAAGAATTTCGTAAATACGGAATTATTTAAGAAAGTCGAGGGTGTTCCCATCTTGTGTAACTGTGTGTAAGTAGGAACCCTTTATACGGAAAGGGACCATCGTTTTTAGCAAGCCAAGTTAACATTAAATACCAAAAGAGTTGTCGCAAAAGTATTAGGAGTATCTTACAATGGAAAAAATTATCTTTAAAATAATAGAGATTAATTCAATTCAGATAGAGTTTTTTTAACAGAATTAAAGATTAATTGAATTACATATATCTTTCTGTTTATTAGAGATATATTATATAATTAATCATCTCCTAAATTAACAGAGTTTTCAAATGTGAAGTTGGCTTGTAATATTCGACACTTACATGCCGGGACAGTTTTCTATCTCGACGTCGTAAACGTATATCTGTAACAATATAAGGTAATATAATACCTTAGGTTTTATGAGGTAGGAGGAGTGCGCGCTAGTCCATGCTGTTAAACGTGTCTTGATTTATTACTTTTCGGTGTTCGAATCGCCGCCGCTCTCCTCACAGAAAAATAGTTCCTAAACTGAATTGTATTATATTACTTTGTGGAACTAACACTACTCTAATCTTTTCGTGCGAACTTTCTATTAGTGCAAACTTAAAATCTAATGAAGTTATTACGTTGCAATGCTGGTATCAATCCCTCAACTAACTTGATGCAAATATTATTGTAATTATTGAAGAGTTGCTGAATTGTAAAATACAGAAATGTGAATGAAATTATGTGATTTTTTAAAAATAAGACTCATGTTGTTATTCTTACCTTCGTACAATAGTAAGTATGTCATCTGTATGTATGGGACTTGTAAAGTATGTCATCTGTATGTCTGGCCCTTGTAAAGTAAGTCATCTGTATGTATGGGACTTGGAAAGTATGTCATCTGTATGTATGGGGCTTGTAAAGTATGTCATCTGTATGTATGGGACTTGTAAAGAGAACTAAAATAATGGGCTTCAGCATTCCTCCCTGTCTCCTCGGTAATAGTACAAATAAAATGAGAAAACGCGAAAAAAACTCAACTAGATGACTGTCTATCTATCTATATGTTATACTCCACAGAGGCCAAAATGTCTTTAATGCGGAGGGGATTAAGTACGCATGCGATACTTAACCACGGTTAATCCCAGTTGGTAGGGAATGATGCTTTAAATGCCACTATTCCTTGCTGTACTGTCGTCCAGGTGGTTCCAGTCTGCAAAAACAATGAGTTTCTGTATTGTTCTGAATTGCTGTTGGGTATTATTCTCCTGTGAGTTAGGAAAGTTTTGAGCCATTGATGCAGAGGTCTTCTGATCCCATATGACGCCAGCTTGTAGAGTAATCTGTCACGGGGAACTGTGACAAAGGCCTTGGAGATGTAAAGTATTGTAATGTCCACTTGTTTGCCACGGTCTGCCCCTGACGAAGGATATAGTCACCCTAAAGACGGTCTCGACATTTGTTAGAGTTGTCTCTCATACTTCTAATTATACTCTGTACAGTGTACAACCATAAAAACGAGATATGTGAACTGCAATAACCAAATACATCAGTTCTATGTGAACATTGTCATTTATCAGCGTATAAAAGGACAAACTCGTGTACTTTAGGTTACGTTTTTCGATCAAAGGCAAGTTAGGACAACATCTTACTATGGGTATAATAAAATAAACTTTGAATAATTGTTTTTTCTAAAAAAAATAAGGATATGGAGGGACAATTGACAAAAGGAAGGCAATAATACACTCGAATACAATGGGTGAAACAGGTTTCTATTTTAAACTGAAGCCGAAACTTACATGTGTAATTGAACTTGTACATACAGGGGCGGGTCCAGGTGAGGGCGTAATGGGCGTACCCCCCCCCCCCCCCCCCCCTCCCCTTTTCAAAAAAATTATTAAAAAAATAACTATCGTAATCTGCTAATATTGTATTGAATATGGCAATTTATCATATTCATTAATTAAACACATACTATGAGTCACTTTAACTATAAAATATTCATGCTCCAAGTCAGGAACCGTTACATTAGTTCATTTCACAATTATTTTAAGTTTTTAAGCCAAAAAAAAGGTCCAAAAATGTTTTCGACTCGCTCCGCTCGGCCAAAGATTGAATTACACGACACCTCTTTCAAATATCCTAGAAACGCCACTGACATAAGTTATTAAAATGTGAAAAGCGAGGTCAACAAAGTCACTAAAAGGGCATTAATGTTGATGCTTTCATAAAAAAAATAGTTCACTTGACTTATAACACGTTATCTCTTTTGCGATCAAACTAAGTGATAAAAATGACATAATATCAAAAGTTCATATACATAGGTTATACGGAGCTTAATGTCTTTTGTAGCACCTGAGGAGAGGTATGTCGACCTCAATTGTTGTGGCTATGGAAATGCACAAATATCATAGTAAAACGCCCGAGTTACACGTTTACCTGTATACATTAAAACCAAGGGCCTTGTGACCGTTATGAACACGAAAACTTTATATAAAGCGTCCTTTTGTAACATTTACTGTTGTAAACAGTGTAGCACTTTTCAGTATCAATGTTTATAGCATGTCTAGCGCATTGATAACGTCACAGATTGTTGTGAAATTGTATATCCTCTAAAACTCATTTATCGATCGCGATTTAGGTATCTTAACCATTTGTTTCTCTTCTTTAACCTGCTAAAATATAAGAATTGGTCGCTAAAGAGACTGACATGTTATATGTCCATCGAACTAAAGTTATGAAGACATCAGCCTTAATGTCTTATGATTGACTTCGTTAACCTTGCTTTTGGAACATTTTAAAGGCTAATGAACAAGTTTAATATATCCAAACTACACATATATGTTCCCATCTTTGAATCTTTGACTGGGGTATTTGAATATAACTTTTCAGGGGGTTGAAGTTTAGGTTGACTATAGCCTCTTTCAGTGAGCTTGTTGAACCCTAATACAACATATTGGCATGATACATGAACACAACTTAATGACATTATATTCACAGAACTTAGAAGCATATTTACACATCTTAAAAGCATTATGTAAACACAGGTAGTTGATTCTATCTTCATACAACTTAGTGGATTTTTACCATGGGGTATTTATTATATCAAACAGCTATGTAACATCATATTTAATTCAGTATTTTTTTTATATATTTGTTCATGCATATTCCTAAGACAATTTTGTTATCTCCATCACCTCCCCGACCCCATCCCCTCCATTTCTCCGTCAAACACATTTAGTGAATTCTGCTAAAAAAGCTAGTTTATAAATTAGATCTCTTCAAGTAACTTTCGATACCTTTCAGTTGGAAAGGCGATAACTCGTATAGATTAAATAGTTTCCTCAACTATATATATAATTTCGATAATTTTATTATTTGTAGCACCGTGTTGCTCTTTCATGGTATACATAAGTGTAATGATCAAATATACTTATGATTAAGCAGACAAAAATAAGCATTTCAACATATAGACATAGTTTTTTGAACTATTATAAAACATGATTATGCATTTTACTACATATTGACGAATAATTTCGTAAAACATGTTCTATTTTTAAATATGTTAGAATGCACAAATAACGAATGATCGAATAATAGGTCGATATATATTTTTATTGGTAAAATAATATTTTAAGAGAATTTATCTGTTAAAGATTTCCTGTCCTAGGGCATCACCGGTGACGGGGAGGGCGGTGATACGAAGTGGCACCTGGCTCTGGTAGCGTCTGGACTCACTGGTGATGGTATATGTGACGTAGACGGTTTTGAAGGCGACTCCACTGGTGACGTCAATGGAGGCGGGGTCGTACTCAACCTTGTGAGGAAGAAATGACAGGTTCGTAATGCTGTCTAATTTACCCCCCGGTACTAGAACACTAAGCAGCGCAGTGCTCTATAAACAGACACGGAGATCTGTACTTGGTATTGGTATATAACTATACCGATATAATTTCGCACAAATAAAGGCTAAAAATACGATTGCCATATATTTCTCAACATCACGTGTTATCATACTGTACAACATAATCAAACAAACACATAAACGGGTCATATAATTTTCTCATGACATTTTGGCAAACATATCTCAAACAAAAACCTAACGCTAGGCATCAATGCAATCAAATTAACCACCGGTTTTGCAAGCTTTCATTCTTTATCTTTCTAATAACAAAAAACACACTAAAACTATAAATTGTTGATGGTAAGATATTACCCTAAAAATATTGAAGACCCCAAATTACATTTTTACATATGAAAAATACTTTATTGTTAAATTAATATTTTTTTGAAAATTTAGATGAATTAACATACCAATATTTTATTAATGTTAATTGAGCCTCATTTCATCATTTCTGTTTTTTTCATTCCTTTTCTGGAATAAACAAGTAAGAGACGAATTTGAAGAAAACTAAGACTGGAAGAAACAATTCTATCGAAGATTCTATGGTAGACAAACACTGGGCTGACAACTCCATATATTGATTACAGTCTTAATTACAACACAACCAATTCAGACACGTGTGGTGCGTATTTCAGTACCTGGAGACCTAGTTCAGGCCTAACCAGTACCATGGGAACCAACAGACTGTACTAGAACCTGTTCGTCCTGACATTGATGTGGAATTAACCTAGATATGAAGGCGAATAAACTGTACATAGACGTGTAGTTACCTACACCTATATAGAACTGGTGACCGCGCGGCCGTTACAATCTACAATTAGCAGTGAAAGTGTTCCTAATCCATATATTTTGCTCCCATATTGTTTTCAACTGCAACTTCACATGACCATGGCATTAGTTCAATTCAATTCAATTCAAATTCGTTTATTATAATGTCACATGTAAAAGATACAAGTATTAAAATCTCTAGAATATGTCTGCTCACCCACCCTTACATCCAGTCTATATTAGACTTACGAGACACTCAATCTTACCCTATCATTCTAGACTGTAAAAGTTTACATATATGTACATAATTATGAATTAAAAATTTGCCAATATAAAAATATAAAATTAGTTGACATTAAAAGACACATTACTGCTTAATTATAGAGCAAGTTGCGACGTCGATTAAGAATATTAACACAGGTTTGGCACAGGACCTCGCCAAGTAAGGGTTACTTAGAATTACAACTTACTTTTCATCTTTACTCATATTGTAAAAATCACTTGTACATAACATATATACGGATGGTTTGCTGAACGTATACAATGTGGTTTACCTTTGTTACAATGGCTTGCTTGATTGCCGTGTCGTAAATAGCCTTCATTTTGGTCAGCAATGCTGTAGCTGCTCGCTGTCTGTGGAGTTCATTGGCACCACAAACTGAAATGAATGGACCACTGTATCATACTGGACGAGGCGAAGTGCTGTTATACATTAAGGTACCTAAAAGCATAGGGACCCTGTATCATACACGATTTTTTAACGGTCATTCAACAAGTTTCTCTTTAACACAAAAATAATAGAAATATGGTAATATGATGAGACGAAAATTGTCTTTTATGATGTAAAATTATGTTTCAATGACACCTGAAATAGCATCAAAAACATTGTAAAGAGAATAGCAATCAATGAAAAATAGAAAACGGGTTATGATGAATATCAAGTTATTAAAGCTACTGCTATAGGTCGATATGTAGTATCATCCTGTGTAAGTTATGGTGATTCCAAGTCCCTTAGTAATTTACAATAATATCAGGTCCCTGCTTTAGTTTCAGTAAGACAAATTCACTGTGCAAGTACGATTCTTACCATCATTTAATATCTCGTCTGGAGTGCGAGTTTTGGTGTTGAGTTTGTCACAGATAGGACAGGCGCTTCTCTTGCCAAATATACCTACAAAACAATACATAATACAACATATTTGTATCGAATATACCTACAACGCAACATAAATCCTAGAATACCTACATCAAAATATTAACCCTAATATACCTGCATCACACTATTATCCCGAATGTACCCACATCACAACATTAACCCGAATATACCTACATCATACTATTAACCCTAGCACATACACCTTCATCAAAACATTAACCCTAATATAATTTCATCAAAATATTAACCCTAATATACCTAAACCATTCCATAAACCCTAATATACCTACATTACAATAATTAGGCTGGTAAGCTTTTAACGGATCCTTGGTGGTCACCGACAGACAAGCTTTACGAACGGATGAGAACTTTATACATCGATATTTATAGAGAGGGACTTCCACTCTTACGGAAGCATTTATTCGTGAGCCCTAGAACTCTCGCCTGTTGATTACGTCGGCGGTAAACCTCCAATTGCAAGTAATCCGTGATTTCAAATGTGTGCATAATGTTGACATTTCACAGTGATATAGATCTTAAGGTTCAACAAGCCCCCTAAAAGAGGTAATAGTCACCCTAAATTTCAACCTCATGGCAAGTCATATTCAAATACCTTTATCACAAATCGGAATATATATATGTAATTTAAATACATTGAACTTGTACATGAGCTATTAAAAAGGTACATAACCAGGTCAACGAAGTCATAAATACGGCATTAAGGCTGATGTAATGATAAATGTTGCTCACCAGATTTATAACATGTCAATCTCCTAAGTGACCCAACTGAATGTTTCGAAATTACATGTTATTTGAAGATCATTTACATACCTAGGTCAAGCGGGGCTTTATTTCTCTTTAAGTATGTATGGAGAGGCAAACCGGCCTCACAAGTAGATGATTGTTGCTATGGGAATGTACAAAAATCATAGTAAAACGTCAGAGTAACATATTTTAACGGTATATATGTGTATTACCATAGACATTTGACCATAAATACTCCTTAAACTTCATATAAAATGTCCTTCCTTAACATTCAATATTGTAATAAAAGAGCTTGACTTGTTGTAAACAGTATTGTACTTTTCAGCTTCAATGTTTATAACATGTCTAGCGCATTCATATAATGTTATCAAATGGCACATCATCTCAAGTTCATTTATCGATCTAGGTTACTTAGCCATTGTTTTCTTATTTAAAATTTGCTAAAATGTATTACCAGGAGATTTTATTATTATTTTAGTGATTTCGCATGGCAACATCTATCTTTATTTGAGGTCGGAATCCCTCTCAACAGGTAGTAGAAGAGAAATAAAGCTCCGCATGACCTAGGTATATAAATAAACTTTAGATTATGAGTCATTTCCCAGCACACAGTAGGGTTGCAAAAGAGATTGACGTGTTATAAGTCCGGTGAACTATTTTTATAAAGACATCAGCCTTAATGCCTTTTTTTGACTACGTTAACCTGGCTATGTATTTTTTGCATGGCCAATCAATGTACAAGTTCAATATATATAAATAACATATGTGAGTTCCGATTTGTAATTGAGGTCTTTGAACATGACTTATCAGGGGGTTGGAATTTTAGTTGACTACGTCATCTTTTAGGGGGCTTGTTGAACCTTAAATCCATAAAAGAACACATGAAGTGTATATATTGAAAGTAAGTGATGGGTAAACTATCCATTATTCTGAAGATGCAAACCATTCTGTACAACCGACAGAAATATGACTGTTTTCAGTGAGAAAGTTATATTTGGACAGCTACCGTGTACCTCATCGAGTATGGTGGCATTTGTATCGAGTATTGATCTAGAAACATTCTTAACTCTTTCACAACAGCCAGAATATGTCCGTTCTGATAGAGTCTTGCGAAGCTGATTGGTTGAGTAGCTGATAAAAAGCTTCTAATTTGACTTTTGTATGATTTTTATTATTGTATTAGCCAGTCTGCTGCACAGGGAATCTTCAGTATAGACAAGTTAAGCCTGCTTTCAAAAATGGCGTGATAATTTCAATATAGGTTATTTCTTATCACAGTTCGCCATGCTCTCGGCTTGTTAGGTCTTGGAATTATAAATCCCGTTTGTATACATAGGTATTCCATCTAAAAAGACATCTTTATTTCCGTAACTAGGAATCCTAGCTTCATATGAAATGATAAACGAAAATTTTATTTTACATAAAACTTTAATATGTGGTTTTTTTTAAGTAATTTGGTACCTTTAACAAATTACTGGAAACAATTGACTGATGTGTAGTTATTCATTCCGTGGCTAGTTGAAATTTGAAAGTACTTTTCATTGCGCACATACGGATGCAATATGCAATTTATCTGGGATAAAATTTGGATAAACTCGCAAATGAATTTGACAAATGTCTGTTGCTTCACAGTAAAACAAGCAGTGGTTAATGCACTGTTAGCTATCCAGAGGCTTGACCATGCTTTGTGTATGTAAAATTGACCATTTGATATGTGTCTTAAACACCTGGATATGTAACATAAATCTCTAATAGTTATCCAGCGATCGAACTACTTAACCAAAGACAGGAGATTGAACAACTAGGGGCTAAAGACAGTTCTAAGCGACGGTTCATCTTATCATAGCCTAAATGCTTTAGATTGAACAATGAACTCATATCCATTGTATATTTGCCATGAAAACAATACTTATCCAGCAGGTAAAACATTTATAAGGGAAGCCACCCCCCATGGAATACACAATACGACTTTAGAAAAGTGAACACTCACTTCCGATTGAGTGTCCAATGTTGGAAATGGCGTGGCCGACACTACTTCCGACGTGTTCGATTTCATGTCCGAGGCTGTTGATGCCATCGAGAGCGCCCTGTGCGCCGTGAGTGAGCTGGTCCCCGATCGAGTCGAGACCGCTTCCGATGGAATTGCCGAAGTCAATTGTGCCTGACTCCAGACCGTGGACAGCGGTTTCCAATCCATGACCAAGATCTCCAGCCAAACCAGCCAATTGGTCGCCGAAAGTACTCAAACCATGGAGAGCGTCTTTGGTGATATCGGACACTCCGCCGATAAGGGAGTTCCCTGCATTCTTGGCAACACTACCAACGTCATTAACAAAATCAGCTGTTTTGTCCCCGAGTACATTTACAGCACTTTCCAGACTTCCTTCAATGTCCTTTACCAAGCCCGCCGCCAAAACCACTGGCTGCATGAGAGTGGGCAGGAGAACTCCCAACACATTAGCCGGCGGTGGTGCATTATGACTAAAATTTGAAACTTGTCGTTTAAAAAAATATATATATATATATAATTACAAACTATAAGGGCATATCGCTTTCGTCCTTTTAACAGGTTATATTACATCCTAAGAACAATATCTTATAAGTTCTGTAAAATTCTGTATTCGTAGATTTGGTCTTTAATACAAAGTCTAAGTTTAATTATTAGACTTATTTTAATATACATCAATATGTGCTGCGATATCCACAAACAACCAAAACGAGGATATTAAACATATAAAACATTTTAGTTCAAATCTACTTAATAGAGATCGACCGGCATTTTTGAATGTTCATACCGGTATGAACGCGAATCGATTACATCTATATTAAACATGAAGCTCTAGCGAATGAAAATTTTAAAAAACGCCGTTCAATCGATATATTTATATTTTTACTATAGAACAATTGTTTAAATGTATTCATTTGTTCTTAAATAATATATGTGTTAACTGCGTTTTGTTATGCGTCGTCCCTTAACCGACATTGGCGAAACAGCACTATTTAACTAAAAGTGGCCAATAATTAACCGTAGTCATTTGAGCGTTTGACGCAGGAGCATTGTCCATGTTATCCGAAGCGAAGTGACAAGACTCTCATTTAACAAGGTTAATGTTTGACGTCATAAGTAAACCACGTGTTACGTCACGAGAGTATTTTCTTCATACACACAGATGAAATGCATTTCTGCTGGTTATGTTCATATAGTGGGTTGCAGCGCAAATGTAAATATATCTTAGTGATACTTGTCCGATATATTTTGTAAGTCCATATCGAGCAAAAGATAAATAGGGATTGTTATAACGCAAAGATAAGGAGTGACGTGACAAAGACGAACCGAAATTCTGTCCTTGTGCATGGCCATACCTGAGACCACAAACGCTTATCTATACCCAATTGGCAACAGTTGACTTTACAGCCAAATGTGAAAATGAGGATATTTAACGTAGAATCACCTAAATTGAACTTGTACAAAGTGATAATATTTTGTTCAATTTTGAGAGACAGACCGACAGTTTCTCAAATCTATTTTAATAAGAGGCTCAAAACTGGTCTTTTAGCAGAGACGGTATATTGCATTGATATAAAGTTAACTTGTTCGGGATGAGTCAATGCATACGGTTGCTCCTTTTGGGGTTGGTTTCACGAACAGATTTGACATTATTAAATTGAATATTTATCGGTTTCTAAAAGTATTAATATCCCCCACCTCACCGAATAAAAACTCAAATGTAAATATCAATGTTTTCAAAGATGAAATTAAAATTAAAAAAAAAATACTAATGCATATATTTTACACCGACCTTTGGGCACATGTGTTGCACTGCGTTATGGACTGGTTAATTTTAACTTCACACTGGTGTTTGAGTGTGTCCTGGATCTCCACAGTCTGGTTCACTTGGTGCACAATCATAAACATCAACTTCTTCCTGACGAGTGTGTCTAAAGCTGGTAAAGGGAAACGAGAGATGTGTTAGAGAACCGAGAGACGCGTGAGAGAATGAGACACAGGAAACGGGACACATACAGCAAATGAGAGTGAGGCACGCCCAAAGAGATATGAGACACATGTCGTCAGGGGATGAAAAACAAAAAATAAAGAAATGTAAGAAAACGAGAGTCAAGCACGACCATGGTGACAACTGAAAACGGGTACGTGTCAGAGATTAAGAACCAAAATTACTCATATATATATAGTACATACATACGGTATACGACTATAGATCTAAATGAAACGCCAATTTTGGAAGAGCCAGACACAACGTTTGACAGGGAGGATAACTTGCATCTTGTCCCTCTGTCAAATACGGTCATTGATACACGTGATACGATCGTGTATATACTTCTTCGTAGTAAAGGTTTAGACGACAATCATAGAGGATTTAGGCACGTAGAATATGTTTGGTGTATTTAAATGTGTTAAGCCCTGTAACGTAACGTTTTATATTGAAAATTTTGTAGTTCAATAGTTGCTATTTTGCTGTTCGTGTACGCTTCTTTGTGGAAAATAGTCAAATAATATCGACCCATGTGCAGGGTAAAACAAATGTGATCTCTATTATTACACACTTGGAGTTGTGTGCGATCACTTGTATAAGAATAAACAAAGAGCGCATTTCATGTTGGAAGCTTTCCAGAGATCAACGTTACACACATACACATAAAGGTGATTGCACCTTTAGAATTTAGCAATAGATAAAGTATACCAAAGACGAATTTCACTGCATCCTACAACTAGTCCGTCCTATAAGGACTCGTCGGTGATGATAGGGGCCAAAAAGTTGGAAATCAAAATTGTCTAAACCACTGTTGTAACAGAGGATCAAACGTGTCAAACCTCTTATTAGGAGTTTTACATTTATGAAAGGTGCTGGTTAATTTGAAATTCAAAAATATGTATAGTAAAGTGTATATAATATGACCCATACCACAACCATAGACCACTGCGCTGTGACGGCAAACCTCGGGAACTACAGGGTACAGTATTCTATCATTTAAATTTACAACATATTTTGAATGGATGTACTTACACTTGGTACTGAAGTCGTCTAGCGGAACTAAAACTCCGACAGACACACCAACAAGCACACAGAGAACAGCCAACTGTACAAGGGTCGTCATCTTGTATCGTGGTGACAGCAGAGTAATCCGTTAGTCTCTATATAGGTGTCCCGTAGAGATAAGCATGACCTATTTTAGTACAGATAAGAAATGTTACGGAATTCAACCAAAATTATTTGTCAACCAAATTATTGATGATTAATATGACACGAATGGCTTTGTTCTCCAATTTTGGAAATTGATAGAATGTTATTCCTTAATTAGTTTTGGTTGGTGATTGGACGTTTATTTTTCAAGGAAATGGGCAAATCTCGATGATTTTATGTCCATGACTTTTGAAAGTGTATGGTAACAATACAGGAATTAGATGGTCCTTGGTAACATTACAGGAATTAGATGGTCCTTGGTAACATTACAGGAATTAGATGGTCCTTGGTAACATTACAGGAATTAGATGATCCTTGGTAACATTACAGGAATTAGATGGTCCTTGGTAACAATAACCACAAGAGAATATCGAAGTATCAACAAAACCATAATACGAACTCCAAATGAATGAAATGTGAACAAAGGGAAGATTCACACGTAAACTTTTGAAAAGGGCGAATAAGACCAGGTTTTCTGAAAAGGTACACTTCTTGCTTCACCGACGACACCCAACATGCAAATCTAGGTCAAGCAAAATAATGTCACGTCCTCATATCGAAAATTCAGCACTACAAATCATATCACAGAAAAGTGCTTAAAAGCTTGAAACTTAAAGGAAGTTATAATCGTAAAAACACATTTTGTTAGTGATTTGGAAGAAGTTTGAAGAGACATCAAGCCAAATCAAATGTTTTAAAGGATTTACAATTGATTTGTTTTATTGTGTCACAGGTCTAAAGCCATGTTAAATAAAGATGGCTTGAGCACACAGTATAAAAGCTTGAGAGGTGCCTAGATCGCTGACAGTTAATGAGTCGCGGTCACCGAAACGCTTGAAGGGGGCTCTCAAGGGGAGATTTCTGCGCATCGAATTCGCGCCGGGTAACAGTTCGCTCTGACCGGGAAAACAGTTTTGACTGTTTCACCCCTACAGCCGAAATTGGACAAAAAACCAGAAACAGTCAAAAATGACTAGTTATAATTTATATAGACTATTGGGTAATAATAGTAATTGTTTTATTAGTAATTGTGTAATATTTGTTATTATTACTATTTTTGAAGAAGGAAAAAACATATTTCCTGAATGAGTAGTTAAATGGGTTAGACCATCATGTTGACGATATTTTGTTTTCTGGACACGGTGTGAAGAATTTGACTCTGTTTGCCTGTAGTCACAGTTAGTAACTGTAAGAAACTGATGGATTGTTTTACCAATGTGTGTGAGGAGTTAGGTGTTCTTATTACCCTTAGGAAGACCACAGGTCCCATCTCAACTATAGTGTTTTGATGTATTGAAATTGATACTGTGGAAAGGATAGTTAGAATACACGAGGAAAAGTTTAATTCTTAAAGCAAAATATAACATCTTTGTTAGCCTCGGAAAATATCACTTTAAGTCAGCTCCAATCATTAGTTGGGCTTTTGAACTTTTGCTTAAAAGCCATTCCTGGGCACGGGCCTTTAATCGCAGGTTCTGTGACGCCATGGTGGGCATAAAGAAGTCCCATTATTTTATCAGGAAATATGCTGGAATGAGGATTATATGAAAATAAGTTTGGAATCCTTGTGCAAGTTTGAATGAACAAAGTTTGTTCTAGAGTTAAACCTGATTGACAATAAAGCTTTGGAAATATCCACAGACTGTGCAGGCGGAGGGGAGTTGGGATGTGAAGCTTATTTAAGGGGTTCTTGATATTTTGGCTTGGCCAGCACATTGGAGAGGTACATCCGTCATAAGTATAAGAAAACGAAGGCGAAGCGTCCAAGATTTATAAGTGAATTCAAATGATGCGTCACTTCATAATATGCTGTGGTGTTATTTATGTGATATACATGTTGTAAACAATTTAAAGGAACGTGCTATTTTTCTAACATGTTTAGCTTTAATTTTCTAACATCACATCCCTAAATGGCTTAAATTGTCGACGAGCCGTAAAATAATACAAAATCCCTTTGTTTTATTTGTTATTTTTCACACACAAAACGTTTACTTTACCCATAAATATAACCCAATGACGGCATTCGAGACCGAAATATTGAGTCGGATTTAGTCGTAGATTAACCGATACGTAAACGGTTCTTTTCGGACCAATCAGTATGGCGCCAGACTGTGAGCCGAGTGTACAAGTTCCTTGGAAAACGAACGCAATACGTTTGTACTACAAAACAGAGGGACTGTTCTCTTCTCGTAGCCAGTGAAAGGAATTCATGACGGGTAGTGTGTGGTGTTATTTATGTTCACTCTCTGGAAACACTAGAATAGGATATTATCGATTCCACACAGACGTGTATTCCCCTAGTTTTATCTAGATGTCACCAATACGTTGACCAGTGCCTTGTAGGCGCCTGTGGTCAGAAACGGACGGATACAACTTATATCCCTTTTGAAAAGAGAGAAACCTAAGGGAAAAGCCAACGTTCTTAACAAATGGCACGGCCTTACGACACTGGCACCAACTCTCAATTGTGAGGAATTAATGCTATTTTTTCTGGTGTTTGAAAACTTGGGAAACCCAAAGTAATGAGTTCTGTTCTATGACAACATTTCACCCTGACACTCGTGGTCTCCAGTCCGTTATATGGCACTTGAGACAGAAGGGTGCTGCTGCAGAAAATGTGATGCGTCGTGACCAATGACGTAAATGTACAACTGGAGTTGAATGACATGGACTGACAGCAGATTGCAGCCGATTTTTTTAATATTGAAGGGTCATTTTACAAGACGGACAAATTGTATCCAACATTAACATCACAACACTCGAAGTTTTGAAATGAATGCAGTGCTGTGACTGTGTTTTGTAGGTTTAGGTATCCCTATTAACCTGCTGGCAAAACACTAGAGAATGTCATTGTACTTTTTCGTTCATGCAGCTAGTTAGTCCGCTTCGTGCTGGGTTGCACACAAGGCCATCACCAGCAGGCAGTAACCACTCCGAAATTTCGTATTGGAGATACTTTCAGGAAGCTCAATTGATTAGAGCAAGAATTCAAGGTTGGAAATTTACGTTACGACTTAAAGTGAAACTGGTTTTAGACGTTAGTTACGCCTACGTCTACATGTAGACTTACGACCTTTAGTGAAACTGTGTTTTTGTCCTCCTCGTTGTTGTTATTACAGTGTTGTTCGTAATTTTGTTTATTTTATCGTGAAGTCCCGCAGTGTATGGTTTCCGTTTCAGAAGTGATTTATCAGAGCTATAGTGATGCCGGAAGCAGTTATCAGTGCATAATAACATGTTTGGCAGTGGTACAGGGATCCCGAAATAGTGAGCATGCAAAGCAATAACTGTACAGGAATATAACAAAAAGGTCATACATAATGAAACGTTTAATTCATGGAAATGCAGTACACTGGCAATCTTAAGACATGTGATTAAAGATTTTAGCAATGATTTAAAAAAAAATATAATGACAGAAACTTTAAGCATGCATACAGATCTAATCAAGTTATAATAATGTGTATGCACTCTAATCAATTAACATCATTGGACATTTGCAAAGTTTGTAAAAGTAGAAATTGTTTTATAAGTAGTAATTAAAAAACGGTGAGACTTAAATCAGACAAAACTACTCTTGTAACAAATTGACCAATAACAAATAAGATCTGATAAGGATATATCCATGGTCATAATCAGCCCAGCACAGGAGTCAAATTAATTAGAATCCATCAAGAACTGACACACAAATGCTTCCACTGAACATCCAGGTGTTGGACACTACAAGTGAACACTGCCATACAGGTACCGATACATGAAGTAAAGCATAATTGTGTTTATAAATAAAGCAGATGAATCAACAGGCAGAGATTTCCATTTTCAAACAATTAAACTAAATTACATATGTATTGTATGCTTTTTAATATCTCAAACCTCCTGACAATCACCGAATTACAAGTCTATTTTTGATATTTCAATATCTCAAACCTCCTCCAATTACAGAATTACATGTTTATTATTGGTATTTCAAGTTTCCCACAATCACTATAGGTGTCTAAACTTCTAACTCTTTGGATACACTTGTTAGGAGTTGGTAGACATTTTTGGTTACCCACTAGTGGGTCACTTCCTAGATGTGATGTCATTGGTCAATTTTCTTATTTTATCCAATATCCCACAAATTATTGAAATATTTGGCAAAAAAAACCACAATCAGCATGCTTGAACATGAACTTGAATAAATAAACACCTGCTATGCTTCCGAATTAGTTAATAGTTTACTTAATAACTGCAATGTTTTTCTCGGTCGCTATCTTTGCTATATTGACAGAGTGGTAATGAGGACAGAGAATTCTGGTAAATGAGAAAATTCAACTATTTTGTTTTTTTGATGATGTGTCAAACATGATTTTTTTTTTGGATCCTATTGATGCTTATATGCATGCAACAGAAGAGGAATGCAGGGCCAGTCTGGGATTGGAACTTGGGACCATTCGAACTGCAGATGGACGCTCAACCATTTAAGCAACCTGCTAGACGGCAAATGACCCAGTCCAGTTACACTACATTCCTCCCTCCTTTTTTCCCGCAAAGTCTTGGTCCTAGACGACAACACTAGTAACAACTCAGATTCAGGTATTTCCTTGCCAAACATTCACCCAGTTTTTGAAACAAAGTTTTGTTATAGGCCCAACTGTAACAGGAAAGAGAGAATTGCATGGCCAGACTACGATTCAAACTCCAAACCCTCCAATTTTAGATTGATACTCTACCTTTTGAGCTACCTGGTTGGTAGTTAACGACCCAGTCCAGTTCCCTTACATTTATATGATGAAATGAAAATAGGAAATACTGACTTTAAAGATAACACTGGAGAAACATGTACTTTAGAGTAACATGCAGTGGAGACTTACATGGACAAAGGGAGGGCACTCCTTGATTCGCTGGTAGCAGAACATAATTCCATCAGAAAAATGACTGGACCGAGATGATGAAGAAA